AATTAGGATTTATCAGAGCACGTCAAGAGATTGGGCCGGGCAGAAATAATGGGAGAGAGGGGGCGTGGCAGCATTGAAAATTCTGATTTGCGCCAATCATCATTTAATACAATCCCCTGGTTGCTTTACAAAGTCTTAACAGCCACAGTGATTGCACAGCCACTGTACTGTTGGTTTGTCTTTGCGAGCGAACGTTTTGTTTCTCAAATGAGCATGCTTTTGCTTACCGCTAAGCTAATTCAATTGAACCTCAATGTGTGACGTACGTACGTGCGAAAATATAATTTCAGAGCAGAATTTCACGTGAAAAATTTTGTTTAGGCACATTATTCGAATTAGCCTTAAAATATTAAAATAAGAATGCTACGGTCGTGCGTTTCATGTTTGTTGCCTTGACAGTTGTTTACAACCCTGAACAACAGTGGTATATACGATGTGAATTAATGGGAGTTGAGAAGTCAGGATTTTGGACATCTCAATCGATAGATCTGCATGGATTCTAGAACTAATTTTTTTATATTACACTGAGCGTATATCCACACCAGGCAAGCTGAAAAGTATACTGACCACGGTGGGAGTCGAACCCGCGACCTTTGGGATACTAGGACAATGCTCTGCCAACTGAGCTACGAGACCAAGTCTGTTTGAGTCTGTGGTATTTCGGAACTCTAAGTCTAGTACCTTCGTTACCAATGTGCTTTATGATCAGGATGATATCATGACATTATCAATGCAGTGGTGCAGCGCTCTAACCAACCTCGTACCCAGGGCCTTTGCGCGGTTCAGAGGCTCTGGTACGGGAAGCAAAGGCCCTGGTAAACACTGGTCACGTGTGTCCAAAAATATTGGACATTTCGTAATAATTTAGTTTTCAATCCGGGGGGAGCGGAGCCGATTGATTTTATCAAACATGGCAGCGCGTCAGGCGCGACGTTTTCGAGTTTTTATATTATTATGATAAATAAAACTTTCCTAGTGAGATTTAAGAGTGGGTATATATTATCCATGCATTCTACGAGCTTTCTTTCAACAAATTGTGGAATAGTTAACGGTAATACTTATCAAAGATCGAAGGACGAAGATCAAACTGAGAGAAAACTAGTCGAGTGATCTGTCTTTAAACTGTCTATTTTGCCAGTCCAATGCAACTGCTTGTGTGCGACGTTTTATAAAGAATTAAATAAACATTGTTGATTATAAGTAATTTTTTATGTATTGACCAAAGAATATCACTTGGGATTTTATTGTACTTTTATGGAAGGATAAATCAGAGGGGACATCTATGGAAACAAAATTCTTCATGTGTATTATAAACATGTAGTTATCAAAGCAGAATATTTTGAAACAATTAACTGGTCGAGTGACAGGTTGGTTTCCGTATGTATGTAGTTTAAAATACAGTTGTGAATGAAATTATACACAGTATCTTGAAACCTTTGTGTGTGTGAGTTATTAAATTTCATATTTATTTTTTGGGATGTATATTTCTGTCTGGAAGAGGGGGGAATGGAGGGGGGCGGGGGGTACCAATCCTGAGAAATAATATACAGTGATCTTGATACAACAAATTTACTACAAATCTTATATCAGTGATATGTGACTTAGGAGTCTTAAAGGCAAATAACAGTCTGTATATTGGGTGTGCGTTCACCTAGTATTTGTTTACATTTGCAGTAACTGTACATCGATTCATGATTTATGAAATTTGAACCAAAGCTGTAACATAATATTAATTAGTCACAGCACAAGTCACTAATAATTTTAGGGTAAATATTTTCCTGAAATACTTCATTTGTCAGTTGCATCTTATAGTATATACTGTAATATCTTGAAAAAAAGCTGTAATTGTACCCTGCCTAATAGCTTTGGCAACTGGGCTGTCTTGGAATTGATCTTTTTCACCTTTGCTATACAACCCCAAGAAAACATGCCTTTTATCAGGAGATCAATTAAATTCTCTGCTTCAACCAGATTAACCACACAAATGTTATTGTCACCATTGTGACTACTGACACTTTTTACAAATAATACACCGACTCTGACTGACATATCATACTTTGTTTTCAAATATCTTTGGCTTTGGTTAAAAACCAACAATTACATTCTTACACATTTTAAATACTTCAGCCTACATAATTTCCATGATGGTCAATTATTCCACTTACTGAGAATACTATAATTACTTCTTTCCCATAAAAATTCTTTGGGGTTTAATTGAAGTATTATTATTCCATATTGTGTGTTTTGATGCATCATACTTTTGTCAGTAAAAATAAAAACCTATTTAGTCATATCCGGCTATGCAGAATTTTATTTGTATTGAGGAGGTATAGGGCTTTAATAAGAGACACAGAGGCTTAATGAATATGGTTACACTGAATTTTATCAGTAAGTAAATTTCATTTTTTACATCCTGAAACCAAAAATCACCATATTATGCATGAATTACATATCACTTTCACTTGTCACAGAGTGAACATACCAAATTCAAACAACATTCACACTGTTTCTAGATGAAATAATCAACTGATTTTTTGTGCAAACAATATAATTCATGAGGGGAAAAAATAAATATTTATATATGTGCACATAGTTTTAAGATCAGCTAACAGGATTGAAACCAGCTTTCCAAGTTATGCTTGGAGCTGATGAGAACAGTTAGTTTTGAACACAAAATGTTAAATGGCATGGGACTTAATTCATCTAGGTGGCAATATATATATATATATTGCCTTCTCACCAGCACAATTGATCAAGTCATACACATTCGTTACTGCCAATCTCTTTATTATTTATGTCTCATTACAATTGGTATGTACAAATACAATATATTTTCATTAGCAGTATCATTACAACTTGTGCATCACCAATATCATGATCACAACTTGTATTTCACTACCACCATCATTATTCTCACCATTCTAATTTTATTAGTCATTCAGAATGAATAAAAAATTTCCTATTTTACACCACTCATATATTACTTAATTGCTCAAGGTCAGGGCCATTTCACATCACTCCAGGATCTGAATACCTGCAATCACCTTTTTGATATAATACTAGAGAAACAAATGACAAATGTCTTACTGGCACACTGGAATATCATAATTGCCATAAAGTAACTGTAATTTGAAACCACATTCTGCTGTATTAGCAACAGCACAACTGCTCAAGGTTGCAAGGTAAATAATAGGGATGTAGTAAGGCCAGTATTACTGGTAATTGTCTTTTTACATTTTGCTCACAACCAAAGTCCAATTATATGGAGCAAAAGTTAGAATATCCAGCTACTTTTTATATACTCACTTAATCTTACACTTGACAAGTAAAATTGTCTGGTGTTGGACAGAGAAAAATAACAAAGTATGCCATATTTGATTATCCCATATACTCTCCCTCGGATGGGTAAAATTGGGGGCTATGGAGATTTAATGGCAAGAGGTGGGGGAAACATTTTCTCCAGTAAAATTTATGGGGGCCATTGGAATCATCAACCAGAGTATTGAGGCGATATAAAAGAAAAGAATACCTGACTGTAAAATTAATGTAATCTAACTTTCTTGTCACACAAAGTTAGGTAACGTTGACATTTTCACACTTTTCTATTATTATCGTACTGTTCTGTTAAGTATTTATTGGATGAGTCAGAGACCAATGGATTGGTATGAGGGCAGTTAATTTGTAATTTTTGCATGTATTCATTTATTAACTTTTTACTACTGTCATGGTCAGCCAGTTAAATAAGTATTTTAATGAGGGTACTGCCTAACTATTTTACATGTCAAAGATAACTCCAGTTATGAAAGATTGAATATTTTCTGAGCAAGCTGGAACAGAAAATTTTGATTTTAGTGAACTAAGTGAAGGGTGGAGATATAAACCAAAAAATATATCAGGCATCAAGGAGGGTTTATATCCAAAAGCGAAAGATGGAGGAGTAATTAAACGAAGAAAACTAATTATATAAACAGACAGCCACGAATCTGCTGGAATTTAGGATATATAAACTGATAAATATTAAAATATATGAGAATATAATTTTATATATGCATCATAAAATCCGAAAATCGTTTACCTCGAATATACTGCATTCTTTATAGCATTCAAAATCCATGTGACTTCAAAGTTTATAATTTCCATCAAAATAAAAACAAGCCTAAAATCTGCTGCCTGTTGTTTTAAATATGAATTTTAAAACACTTGTTATACATTCATATTTTAAAAATCAAATGCAAAATCATTTGTATTTGAAACTTTTATAGTTCGTGCATTTACAATGTTCAGTTGTTCATCCCCCCGGCATAACATGACCTTAATAAGGCCAGGTTACAAAAATGTCCAATATTTTTGGACACACGTGACCAGTGTTTACCAGGGCCTTTGCTTCCCGTACCAGAGCCTCTGAACCGCGCAAAGGCCCTGGGTACGAGGTTGTATAGCCCTAACTATTGTCTCGCACACGAGGAGGGACGCTAAAAAATGCGTAGTCAGCAAGTTTCAACCGATCGTGTTTAAGCTCGCCCGCGTGACGTCATTACTTGCCTGATCCTACCCGCGTGACGTCATTGCATGTAATTATGCCGTATGCTAATGATGATGCGCCGCCCCGCGCCGCCCCAAAAATCCGGCCCGAACGGCCCCTATATTACTACTGGCGACAGTATCGCCGACAACTCACGAATAGTGTTTTGATTTGCTTTGTTATCGCGTGTATACATACGACTACCACTGACCTGCATACGACTACCACTGACTGTCGCAACAAAACAATTTTTTTTTTATTTCTCGCGAATGAATTATGATAGGAAGTTAAACAGAATCGACATCGGCGAGTGTCGACGACTAACGAAAACCAACCTTTAGTAATCCGCGCGTGCTGGGGGATTAATTAAACGTATTTCAATAAATAGTAAGTCACAAATAACTAGCAGCAAATGAAAGTGAATGAAAGTGTTAGTTGAATGACAATAAATTACTTATAACACAAACTATAATTGACTAGGGGTATGCATGATCAGATGAAACTACAGATGTTTACGTACAACAAACATTTTCAAGAATATCAGAAAAATGAATTCGTTATGGTAAGTTCCAATAATGCAGTGCGCAATGTCAGCATAATCTTGAAACAGCAACGCTCATGACACTCCCCAAGGTTTATTCACTGAAGTACTGAAGTGATAAACTCGCACGATAAACCGAGATCCTTCGCGTTGAAACATCGGGAGGGTAAACTGCAGAGTAGTGCTAGCAACACGCGTACTTTGTAATTTGTGGCTTTAAAATCTTCCACCAGTGATGTAATTTGAAACCTTATTAATATTCAATTCAATTAATGTAACAAATTATAAATTCGGCAGAGTGGGTTTTGTCACTATACTTGTAGATATTTAATAATTTTCAAATATTTAAACTAACGTATAAAGTAGGTATAAATTAACATTGGCGGTCTACAGTATATATTGTCATTTTGGTACAGATAAGATGTTGTAAAAAATAAAGAGGAAGAATTAAGACTTATGCAGTGAACATATTTTGCTCAGCTTAATGACGATGGGCCCGCCCTCTAAACGTCGAAGTGTTTTCAAATCATTTCGAAATTAGTTCAGAAGCCAACCATGTTAAATTGGTATTATTATATAATCTAACTCGGGATATTGTACTTAAGACGATGTCTTTTCCCTCCAAGTATTAAATTATGTATTTGTTATTCTGTAGGATTTTATAACAGATCCCTGTGTTCAGTCCATTCTTCAGGTAAAAGGCATATCTTGGCATATCTTGGCTTAACGATCACATGTTTTCATTAATCAGAATATTTTATCTAAAGCAATCTCCCAATGTTTGCAGATATTATCCTCTAGTGGCTCTTGGACACCGTTAAGTACGACATATTTTAAAATTACTAATTCATCTACTGGGTCCCCCCTCCCTCCCGCCGAAGAAAATGCTCAATTATATTTTGAGGTATTGCGGTGATACGTTCATAAACACGATATAAGTTTTATATCAGCAATTTGCTGGATATCTAACAGATAACATTAGTATCATTTTGCTTTTGACACCGATATTCGAATTTCTCCAAATGAATTACAGTCGATTTCAACTTACTGAAATGAATGAATAACAATATTTATTGAGGGTGAACACAGTGGCGTAGCCAGAACGATAATTGGGGGGGGGGGGCATATTCATATATTCGTGTTCACATACCATAAGAACAATTGATTTCAAAAGAAATTAATAAAGTAGAACACGAATATATGAATATCCCCCCCCCCCAATTATCGTTCTGGCTACGCCACTGGGTGAACACCAATCTAACACTAAAGGTTAACGAGGGTGGCCCTGCATGATGTCTGCCTAAAATACAACGAACTTTGCCAATTCGTTGCGAATGTTTTGTAAACATGCAAAGCCTCTGATTCAGATTGGCCCCTGGCCTGGCACTCTTGTAGGAAATTGGATATCAGATAAGGAGGAGACCTTATGTGGAGAACCCCAGGGTTCTGTACTTGGACCTCTTCTTTTTCTGATTTACATAAATGATATTTGTGAATCATCTAAGGTATTTCATTTCTTTCTCTTTGCGGATAACACCAACCTATTATATGCTAACAAAAATTTAAAAACTTTAGAATCATGCAGTTATAAATTTCGAGTTGAGGGAAGTTTGTAAATGGCTAAACGCCAACAAACTGACATTAAATATTAAAAAATCAAATTTTGTAATCTTTCGACCATCGCAAAAATTAATGACCTATCAACCTACTATTAAACGTTTTGACAATAATTCGGAAAAAATACATACCTCTCGAAAGTAAGGATTATATAACATATCTTGGCATTCTCATTGATTGTAATTTGTCTTGGAAACAACACATTAATTATATAGCATTAAAGATTAGCAAAACTGTTGGAATCATTGCAAAACTCCGACATTACGTTCACCAAATTTTGGTTAGGCAAAAATAAGTTTATATCGACCGTAATATACAAGGCTGTACGTAAAAATGGGAAAATGGTGAAAGAATTCAATGGGTTAAAATTGATTAGTTGTAGCAATATTTGGCAAATTATATACACAGAAATTCATAAGTGTCCCACAATAAAATTGTCTGATGCATGATTGAAAAATGACTCAAATATAATAAACCGATTTAAATATGTTTAAAGAATGATGTTGCGTTTAATACTGTTGAGTGCGTGCGATTTGAATTAAGTGTTACGTAATCTCTATGAAAATACAAACAATTGCCAATTTTTGACATTGGTATACATATTTGTAGAGACTGGAAACTGCATGTGGCCGATTATGGTACATTAGTTAAGTATTCTTAACTATAATGTGTAAATTTCTAACGTCATGATCATGTATCGTAATAAAGTAGCATATAGAAGACCCATATGCTATGTATCTATATTTACTGATTTTAAATTGAATGGAATCTTGAGGTCAAATCTTGTTTTTTTAATTGAGCGGAATCATGATTTCATAATGACTTTCCCCATATGATTCAGTTTATAGTTTCACATGTGAAAAATATGAAACTCAAATTTCTCACGTGTGAAATGGCATGTGAATTTTCCGTAAGGGAATTAGGACAAGAATTTATTATAGCACAAGTAGGCTTGGCATCCCTGTAACATTTCCATGAAGAAGTTTAACCATTAGGTTTAACCATATTTCTGTTTGGATAATGGTGTCGCCACTTTGAGTTACTGTACACAGCAAAATATTGGGTAGCTACTTTATACTGGTATGTGTAAGGCGCATTTGAAAACTCAAGTTGAGTTTTCGTTCTTTATAACAAGTTTAACAACTGAACTTGAATTTTAGATGTACAGTACATTCGCGTTTTTCCAGACCCGATAATTCGATATGTACAGTATGTTACTTGAATTCATTTTCTGGCTGTGGTCTAAACTCTTTATATTTGTATAATATAGTATCGCTTTTCCGTTGCTTTCAATAAATATTAATATTAATTATATATTTTCTCTACTAGGAGTTTCCAAAGTGGCTAAAGTCGAGGTAGACTCAGTACCTTGTACGATAGTCAACATGGATTTGTTTAATAAATTGTTCAGACAAGGTGAACTATTAGTAATTTTACCAAATGGAGACCAGCATGCATGACTACAACTTTAAAATTAATATATATTTGAAGTACCATACTTACTGGCACCACGCATGCATAAACGCGTCAGCATTTGAGTCTTAATTTTACAAAGCTACACAAATTTATTAGTTTGCACCTGTACCCGTTCGTAAACTGTATTCCAAGGATACTGAGAATATGTTCATTGCTGCAGGGCTAGTCCGTGAATCCGGGATGATTTTTAAATGCTTTGATGAATACGTAGAAGGATTTACAATATCTGATGAACTACGAAAGGTATCTTGTAAAAAAGTGCTTTTTCTTCTAAAGAATTATATTATTTCAGATTCTATTCTATTCATTTTGAAATCAATGGTATTTCTATAGACCCATTGCACATGACGCCACAGCGCCGGTGATGATGCATCTGGAGGAAAATTAGCAATCTATGCACAATATAACTTTTGTAAACAAAGCAAACTTTGTAAAACTTTATAATAATTCTGTATCAAAATGGTTAGTTTTTGCGCTGTATGTGGTTGTTGTACCCGAACAGATATTGTTAGGGAGCATCTGGAGGACACTCTAAGGATTTGTGACGTCAGTGCAAAGGGTCTATAGCAATCCGATTGGTAATATTGAATGCGAATATTTTCCAAATCGCACATTTTTTTGGGGGGGGGGGGTAGGGTTGGCTCGGGAGAGCCCAGCCTTTTGTAAAAAAATGATGTTTCCGAAAATTATGTCATGTTTCAAAATGAATATAATAGAATGGAAAATGAATTTCGTGTCGTGCAATTTTAGTCTGAAATCAAACTTGTGGTAAACAATTGCACTCCCGCTTCGTGATTGTGCAATTTTGTAATTAGACCAAAATGCACTCCACTCAGTTATTTGCCATTACTAATTTTCTACACTTGGGTGAGAATTTATTTTCTAACAGTGCATTTTATCAGCTAGACTAGCTAATGGGCAATCTATCGCCTTGGTAAGAGCTTTGCACATAATAGTGCGTGAGCGCCACCTGAAGTAATTTATAGTCTTTCGATTTAGATGCATTTAATGGAGGAATCTGATCACTACGACCTCTTTTCAGAAAATGAAAAGAAAGAGTTTATTTTTCAGATCTTCAAACATATCTGTTTAGGTGGAGATATTTGTCAGGTAAAACTAATTACAGCAACATTTTCTTGGGTTTGTTGAAATATTCCAAGCAAATTTATATGCATGTATCAGTTCAAGTTGGGAGTCATGTTAGTCGGCTTTAAACTCAGTTTTTGATCATATAAAAATAGGACAGTGGGACAGACACCAAAATAAGAGGACATTTTATCGATGAAATTCTTTATTCTGGGCACGTGCAATGTGAATGTAACTCGCTCAACCAATGAAATGAAATGATTCTCTCGACACTTGATTTTTTAATGTATATAATGATTATTTAAAGAATGTCATGGTTGCCCATGCGTCCGAGCCAGAGGCCCATGACAAAGAAGAATAGCAAATTGACATGCATGTCAAAGATGAATATGCAAGGCAAAGCACAATGCGAAGCTTTTTCGCATATATAAAGGTTTCAACCGAATAAGTTATCACAAGATAGGAAATTTACCCGCATCCACCCAGTAATGTCACGCGTTCCGAGTGATTGATCTGATGGATACGTATATTTAATATAAGTCGAAAAGTTTTAAACTTATTTTCGGGGGCGCCGAAAAGTGAATCTTTTTTCGGCACGTTCAAACTTGTGCAATATTCAAGCCTTGATGAGAGTTGCAACACCCGCTTGCGTTTGACCGCCAACTCCATGCATCAACTCTCAAGCACTCTCATCAACTTTGAGCAACTCTCGCTTCTCAACTCTCATCCTCGTTTGACCAGGCGTTTAGAATACTCTCCCACTCCTTTTTCGAAAGCCAGAGCTTAATCAAATACATGGACAATCGTATAATTGTTTCAAATAGAGCGCCAATTAATTGGGCTCGAACCAATCATACGGCTTAATGTTTTGAGTTACCGTAATCCTGTTCCCATCGCGAGTACAATGTTCCATTCCTGACATTCGCCATGTTTTTAAGATCACTTATAGAGGTGCACCCATGAAACATAGTAACGCGCCCGCGGTCATAGATGAACTATTGAATGGACTGTTCAATCCGCTAGCTCTCGCCTTTTCGTGGGTGTAAATAGCCGAGCGGAATTATTACCGTCGTTTACTCGCCGTTGGCTTTGGGGAAAATTCTAATGAAAAAATAAAGAATATTTAAGAAATATCGTATGGTTTTCAGCCTGATTTGCATCCTGATTTTCGTCCTTGTTATTAAGTGACGTATTTGTAACACAAAAAATCGCAATATTATTTGGTCAAAACAACCGAAAAATTGGTTAAAATCAAATTTTTATTTGTTTTAACCAATAAAATATTGAAATGTTGGTCAAATAAGTGCATCTGAAACAACCAATTCAAATTGGTTGTTTTAACCAAGCTGCCAAATTACAGTGTATAACCTTTTAGAACTTTTCTTTTCTAGTTTGAAGATAACGTTAATCCTTATTTAGATACAAGTAAATCACTATACAAAGACTTAGTCAGGTTTGTCTTATTGATATACTGTATATTTAGATTAATTACTAAAATTGTTCTATGGATACTACTATGGGGTAGTACAATTCCATGCCTAATTTCTAAATTTAAAATAGCTTTTAATATTTTCAATTTTTACTCGGATTATCGATATAACAAATGGTATATATGTTATTGTGAACGACTATACTGTATACGTCTTGAAACTATTGTTGATGCTTATCCAAAAATTGTCGATTAGGTTACATCAGGTTTTTACTATAATTCGTGGCAGATTTATGGCTGCAGGCTAGCCAACTGGAACGTCTGCCAGGAATTTTTATAGGGTTCAAACTCGTCAGCTTGTACAAGCAAAACAAATTTTAGATTTATTGTTTTAACAGCGTTTATAAAGATGCAAATTCAAAGGAACTCAAAACAAGATCGCACGTCTTCAAAATATCTGCATTGGTAAGTACCATCTCCCTACCCATTGAAAATTTTATAATTGTCATTGAAAACAATTTTCAAAAATCAAGTACATTACCTGGTTGTGTACTTCAAAATTTAACCAATAACGATTATTGTATTCACCTTCTGAATGTTGATTCCATGCACATATTTGATTGATTCCTCATATGCATGTCGATTCCTGCATATACAATAAGCGCCACTTGCATGAGGATATCTCCACACCTAACAAATTTAGTTGTCGAATGGCGTTGGTCTTCATGAATGAATCACCCGCTCTTAACCAATAAACCAATGTTGAATCGTATTTCTTAAAAAAGTCTATACATAATATTGAGAAAAAAAACCCATTGGAAATATGGAATGGAGAGTGCAGAATGTGCTTCGAAAGGTAAGTTTTACATATTTGGAAGGTTTTTAGTGTAAAGTTGCACTTTACACTATTGTGATGACTGGCGAATTCACACGAATCAGTCATTCATTCAGTCAGTCATAGAGTAAACTTTCCGGGGGATGCATACATGGGCGTAATTGTTGGACAAATAAAGCCAGTCGGGCAATATTCGCTTCACAGTCGGGCAATATTGGCTTATTATAAAATTTTGTGGGAAATTCTGTCAATTTTGTGGAAAATATGCTATCTAATAGGAATTTTTCGTAATCACTCCTCCCCCACCTCCCCGTCGACAACAATTTTGGAAGGTTTGTCCGGAAAATTTTTTTTGACAACTCGGGCACAATCCGAAGAAGTCGGATAAATTTCTTTCCGCCCCCCTAATTTTTTCCTTCCCGTACGCCCATGGGTGCATAGGATTTATGTTTGTAGTGATTTATTGTACTTTATCAGTGTTTTGAAGGTTATTTAGGCAATTTCAATTGTCTTATTTTACAGTCAATTTCAGCTGACTTTTCATCGTAAGATTCCGAACTTCGTTCCGAACTTCGCGAATTCGTTGCCAAGTTCAAAAGTTCATAATGAAGTTCACAAACAGGTTTGTAAACTGGGCTGGTTTGATTTAATAGCCAATCAGAGGCTTTGTTTACAAACCTGTTTGTGAATTTCATTATGAACTTTTGAACTTGGCAACGAATTTGCGAAGTTCGGAACGAAGTTCGGAATCTTACGATGAAAAGTCAGCTGAAATTGACTGTAATATTCTTTTGTCATTTTGCCAAGTTCACAAATATTTCGAGGAATCATTGTCGTTATTGTAAATTTTTGTAAATTTTCGAACATTCGCTTCTCATGCTGTGTAAAGGATCTTTCCCCCGGAACACCCGATTTTTTCCTTAGCCGCTCATATGCGCATGCGCTATCAAGCCTTAGATCAACGATGGCGTGACGATGCTACCGAAGGAGCGACACAGTGTTGTAGTTTCAAATATATAAATATTTCAGACATGAATATTAAGTAAATCTTTGACTGATCTACGCAAGATATAAATTGATGATATGCATTATGGGCATTCAATCAAGTACCGATATTATTTAGACGATATATTCATTATACATGCAGAGCTGGGAAGGAGCTAGACAGTGCTTTTTTTTCAAATGTATAAACATTTCAGACGTAAATATTGAGAAAATCTTTGAGATTCGCGGCATTCAATTAAGTGTCGATATTATTTTGACGGTATCTTCATTATACAGAGCTAAGAAGCAGCGATACAGTATCAATTGTTTTCAAATCTATATAAAACATTTCAAACATGAATATTGAGAAAATCTTTGAGATTCTACAGTTGTACGCCATATATAAATTGATGTTTTGCATTTTACCGGCATTCAATTAATATTTTAAGTGCCGATATATATATTGTTTAGACCGTATATTCATTATACATCGACTGTATAAGGTGCTACACTGCTACACCACAGAATAGATGGCTACATTCAGTGCAAAGAGCGAAAAATTGCATCAGTCAGTAGCATAAACAACTATTAAACAGTTAATTAATTTTCCAACTCAGGGGAGTAACACTCTAGACAAAATCCTTACAAATTTGCATTCCTTTTATAAAGATGCGAATCGCCTTTCACCGTTTGGACTTTCGTATCACTGCACAATTACAATTCTCCCAAAAGAAAGAATTAAAACCAAGTCAGAGCCCAGTAAAGTTTCAGTACGAGATCTAAGACCAGCAAAAAAGAACAACTTGGCCGTTTTCTTTCAGGAATCGATTGGTCAGTTTTATCAACAGATTCAGTCGACAGCCAAGCTGCTTTATTTAATGATTTGATTCAGCTTGGACTTAACAATATCATGCCTGAGAAAACACGAGTAATTCATCGGAACGATGTTACATGGATGACAAATCATCTGAAAGAGTTAATTGTCAAACGCCAAGCAGCTTGGGCACAAGGAAATCAAACACTTTTCAAGTTTTAACGTAACCGGGTCAATAACTATCGAAAGCGGTGTAGGCAAGTTTATTATAATTCTAAGATACGTCATTTAAAGGACAGTAAACCAAAAAGGTGGTGGAACGTTAAACGCATCAGTGGCCACACCCCAATTATAATAATAATAATTTATTTAAAAACTGATTTTGTAACCAATAGGTTAAATTACATCAGAAATTTACAAAAATTGTATATCTACTGTTAAAAAGTATTAAGTTATCGTCATATTACATTACATTATTAAGAATATTAAGAGTTCAAAAGTAGCAAAAAACAATAGGCCTATACTTCTACTCAGTTATTTACTGTTTTCTTTGGAAATAATTTGAGGAAAAAACGATTTCTTAAAACGTTCAGTTCTACATAGATAATTGTTATACTTGCATCTTGGTCGCATATCGCAGTCTGCTGTTGCTTTATGATGCAATAGTTCGCTTAGTTTATCGTTATTCTCATTCTTTTTAAAAAATTGTTCACATAATGTTTCTCTCCTTGCTTTTTGTAAAGGGATACCAGTAAAATTCCGGGCTTCTCTGTAACTCATTAATGGCAAC